AAAAAAAAAAAAAAAAAAAAAAAAAAAAAAAAAAAAAAATTTCCAAGGAATCCATTCATGGAATGAAATCACCTAGTAGAGATGAGAAAGATGATTAGATAGAAGTACCATCTTCTGGAATATTGTGGTGGGCCATTACCAATGCCAGATATAAGGATTGTGGACAAACAGGAGGAGTGGTAAAAAGAACACTGTGCTTAGATTCAGAAGCTCTGGTTCAACTCCTCATTACTAGCTGTGTGGCCTTGAACAGATAGTGTGATAGACAGTCAATTCCTTCCTTGGCAAAACTGGAATAACAAAATCTACCCAAAAGACCTATGAGGCTTAAAAGGAATAATATAGGTGATAGTTTTCTGGCACATACAGATATCCAATAACATGTGAATGAACTATGGTTAATCCACATTCATCCAGAGTTAATCCAGATTTTCCTTGTTGGTTCTATTGATAATTAATTACTGCTCAGGATAACGTCTGAGAGGCACTGCAAGGTTTTGGTGTGTTTCCTGAATGACCAAATAAAGATGAAATCATACAGTTAGAAAAAAAAAAAGTTACACGTGAATTTTACATTACGGGTAGCACCCCCAAATACCTCCCCATTGCACTCCCCAAACTCTCCGCCCTTCAAGGTTCAACTATATATAAAAATATAGACAAAACCCCCTTTAGGGCACTGAATTGGATTAACCTTTTGATAAAGGTGATAGGGAGTGGATAAGGTAGGAGAAAAGGTTAAGTGAAATACTTAACATCTCTAAAGAGCCCTGTGGGTGGAATGACACCTTCACTCTTCAAACTCAGACCCTGCCCACTAAGCGCAAGCCCCTCCCCATTCCCCGCCCCTTCTCTGTCCAACGGACATGGGGTCCGCCCCAGCCCCACCCTAGAGGCCCGGTCGGAACCTCTTCTAGACCTAGCCTCAGAGCCCTCGGGGTAAGAAAACTAGAATTTGTTCTCCGAGGCTGGGTGAAGGAGGGGTTAGTCTTTCTACCGCCGCCTTACGCCTCTCTGGCCCCCCAAACCGGAGCCCCAGCCCTTTCCGCTCCCGGCGGCCCCGAAACCGGAAGCGGAAGTACGCGTGTTGGTGGGTGGTGGCGGCAGTGCAAGCTTTGCGGCGCGCTGCGGTGGGAGTGTCTCCTGCGGGTCTGCAGGTGTGGCCCGGCCCCTCGGGAGGGCGGGGAGGGCGGGGAGGGCGTGGAGGACCTGGCGGGCGCGGGGAGGAGCCGAAGGGTCAAGAACTGCAGCCCAGCTAAGGTGCTTCCTTCTTGTGGTAGTTGGGGGCTCGGCGTAGGGCCTCGCGTGGCACTCGTTGCTTCTTCCTCGCTTTCGGGTATCCGCCAGTCTGGGAAGATAGGTCTGTCATCCTGTCCAAAGGAAATTCCTGAATGTCAGGAGTATGGTGACACCGACCCCAATCTTCACTTGTCCTCCCTGATTTGAAGGGAAAGTGCGTTCTTTAAGAGGGTCTTACCCTACCTTTTGTACGCAAAATATTGCGTATCAGTAATTCACGTTTTATTTTACATGATATTTAATATCTTACTTTGCAAGTGGAAAGTAAGGTCTGGGTCCACATGTGCAAATTGGGTCGAATGACTTGTCAAATTTATTTGAGAAATTGAATGTACCACTCATCAAGGGATGAATTCAATGAATTAGATGATAGGAGGGTCTTTTTTGGGGGGGTGATTCTTTTGCAGTTCTTAGGTTAACATCTGTTAGCATACATTCTGTTCCTTTTCCTTTATCTTAAGAGAGGTTTTAATTTGTGACTTTTACGTTGGCTGTGGGCATCAGTTTTTTACTGGAAGGTGGGGATATTTTAAGAAAAGCTATTTCTCAGTTATGTCACAGATGTTATTATCAAGGAAAAGTAAGAGAGTTCATTTCTTTTCAAATCGGTAAGCTTCAAAATCTATGGGACTTAAGAAAAAAGATGCTATAACCCTTATTAATATTGGAAAATCAAATTAAGTTGGCCATAAATGGAAAGTATTTTTTAATATTAGGGCTAAAGGGCTCGGCGCCTGTGGCTCAAGTGGCTAAGGCGCCAGCCACATACACCTAAGGTAGCAGGTTGGAATCCAGCCCAGGCCGCCAAACAACAATGACAGCTGCAACCAAAAAATAGCTGGGCGTTGTGGCGGGTGCCTGTGGTCCCAGATACTTGGGAGGCTGAGGCAGGAGACTCACTTGAGCCCAGGAGTTAGAGGTTGCTGTGAGCTGTGATGCCATGGCACTCTGCCCAGGGGGACGGCTTGAGGCTTTGTCCTCCCCCCCCAAAAGAAAAATTAGGGCTAAAGATCACTTATACTGAGAAATGAAAAAAAAATGAACTTGAGGAGAATTAAGCATCAGATTTCTGTTTTATGAGTAAGGTGTTTATTTCCAAAAGGCATACAAGATCTGCCTTGCCTTTTTGGAAAGAACCAGTATTGTTTCATAAAAACACCTGAAATTGAGTGTTGTGATTTATATGGTATGATGAACAGGCATTTTAAGTCATTCTTATATTTTATTTTTGTGATATCATATTGTTCTGTGTGTATGTATGTGAGTACTCATAGGCATGTGTTGTAGGCTAGCTCTACTGAATTATTCTTGTGGAGCATTGTTCGGCACATCTTCACTGGGATGCCCTCAATGAACAGGGCCTGGGGAAATAGTGCGACTGAAGTAGTTATAATGCTTGCCCTTGTGGAGGTTTCATTCTAGCTGAGAAGACAGATTTTAAATTAATAATGGCAAAGGTGATATGGAAACTTGGAACAGGAAAAGTTGGAGTATTTGAGATGAATTCTTCAGTAATTCTACTGAAGAAAGTAGAATTGAGAGAATTTGATGATTGGTATATTCTCTCTACAGCATGAGCAGGGGTCGGCAGACTATGGCTTGTGGGCCAAATCTGGTCCAGTACTGGCTTATATAAATAAAGTTTTATTGGAACACATTCGTCTATGTGTTGTCTATGGTTGTTTTTGCATCAAAGCCATATAGTTAAGTATTTGTGACAGAGACCATATGGCCCACAAATCTTAAGACATTTACTATTTGGCCCTTTGCAGAAAAAGTTTGCCACCCCCTAATATATAAAGTACCTAGTACTCAAGTGCTGTGATGATGGCTACATATGGAATACTGAAAGAAGTGGACACAGGTTTATACTTACAAAATTTGTATCATAGTTAGAGAGAGAAGGAGGCAAAAATCACTTAAATATAAAATCACAGCTGATAAGGGCTGTGGGGGAAAAGTAGACAGTCCCAGAAATGTTTTGAGCAAATATTAGAGGAAAAAGATCCTTTTTTGAGGTGGAAGGAGTGAGTAGAAATCACCACCTGCTATTGTCTGAAAGGTGACTCAGGATCCAATATGTTGCATATTGAGATAAATTCCCTGTAAGAGTTTTTAGCTTGGCTGTTCTGTTGGAGACCTACAAAAATGGAATTATTTGGGCCAAGCCCTTGCTTGGTCTTCTGCTTTCATTCTCTACCCTTTATTTACCTCCATCTTTCTTTTATTGCAGGGAAAACACCTACTGAGACCTTAAACCTGGCACTGGTGAGGAAATTGGGGTATCTAATGCTTTAGGACAGGGGTCCTCAAACTTTTTAAACAGGGGGCCAGTTCACTGTCCCTCAGACCATTGGAGGGCTGGACTGTAGGCTCCAGGATGAGTTGACTGCTAAGCAGGAGAGGCAGTTGTGGCACAAACACCCAGTAGGCTGGATAAATGTCCTAGGTGGGCCACATGTGGCCTGCAGGCCGTAGTTTGAGGATGCCTGGTTTAGGAGGTAGATAAATATGTTCTCTAGGCCCTGGCCCTTCTCCCTAGACTACCCCTCTCCAACTGAGGAAGAAAGGGGAGGACATCTTTCCTCTGTGCATGACCTCCAGAAACTGGTATGGGAGACAGATCTCACAGCAGACCTTGGGGCTCTATGTTTAATTCTGGAGTCTGGCTGCAGAATGGGGCTGCCCCAGGCCATCTCAGCTATCCATGGTGAGACCTAGTGAAAACACATGTGGCTGTATAAATTGAAATTGATTAAGATTCAGTAAAGTTAAAGACTCAATTTCTCAGTCATCCCAGCCACATTGCTCATGTGCTCAATAGGCACAAGTGCTGGTTGTCTCCTATTTGGAAAATGCAGGCATGAAACATTCCCATCATTGCAGAGAGACTATTGGACAGTGTTGCTATGGAGAATTCTAAAATTAAAAGGCCATCCAGTTTCTCAGATACAATGGAAATTGTACTTTCACAGGTATAAAAAATTATCAAATACTTATGTAGGTGTTGGGAGGAGTCCTAGGGACTTCACAAAAATTAGGTCAATCCCAAATTTATGATAAGGAGTTTAGGAAAAACTTAAATCTGGAAAGGATACATGAACATTATGGCCACCCTATATAATATAGCATAAGGACAGCCCTATGTAAACAAATGGATGTGGCTGTGTGCCAGTAAAACTTTATTTACAAAAACAGATGGTGCACTGGATTTTCCGCTCTCCTAGTATAGAGTTCTGTATCTGAACATCCTTCTCTAGTGATAACCAGTTGTTCCACACAGTGGGTGGAGGTGGTCTTATTAAGCTGGGACATGTGTGCTATTTTAGGAATCAGTCACCTTTGAGGATGTGGCCGTGGGGCTCCTTCAGGAGTGGGTGTTGCTGGATGGTGTATGGAGGGACCTGTGTAGATACATGATGCTGGGATAACTACAGGATCCTAGCTTCCAGGGGTAAAGTTGGCATTACATGTTCCTTTGTATACAAAGGTACTAAATTCTAAGATAGACACTGGCTTCCATAGAGTTATAAAACTATTGGTTGCATTGACTTCATTCTTTCTGTAGTAATGCCCTGTGTGGGTCTTACTGAACTTGGCCTTGGACATCAGGGGTTAAAGAGCCTTAGCTCTTGAGCCAGGGAGGAGGGTATTTGTGGTTTGATCTTTGTGAAAGAGCTCTACTGTTCATTAGCAGTAGGGTGAGATCACCTTACTATCTGTAGTACTTGCTCAGCCTCACAATCTGAAGCTCACGTGGAAGCCAGGCCTGGATTAGAGTTTGTGGCCTCCTTCCCTCTGTCAGAACAAGCAGTCTTTCTCTGTGAGCAGGAACTCCCATCATGCAAAACCAGTCTGGTCTCCAAATTGGGGCCTAGAGCAAAGCCAAGGGCAGGAAAATGAGAGCTTCTCCAAGCCACAGGTGTCAGTGAGTCTTAGGCTGGCTGCAGATGTCCTGCACTTGGTTGGGAGATATGCTCTAGGAAGTGAAGTGTCAGGCTGAGAGCATTTTAAAAGGTCCTTTATCCTGAGGGGTTATCTGAGTCTTTTTGGGGTATGGTTTCTAAAGTTCCCTTAGCTTCTCTTTGTTGTAACTTTCTAGCTTTCCTCTCATATTTTCCTTTAGTCTCAGAAAAAAAGGTCTGTTAAAGTTTTTCTGTTTTTAAAAAATTGAGACACAGCTCACCCACCATGGAATTCACCCCTTTAAAGTGTTACAGTTCAGTGGGTCACAGTGTTGTAGGGCCATTGTCACTATCTAATTCCATAACATTGTCATTATCCCCCAAAGAAACCACGTTCCCCTTAGCAATTACTCCTCATTCCCTACCCCCGGCCCCTGGAAGCCACCAATCTGCTTTCTGTCTCTATGGATTTGCCCAATGTAGACATTTTTTATGATGGAATTATATACTATGTAGCCTTTGGTATCTGGCTTAGTCCATTCTGTGTTGCCATAACAGAATGCCAGTCTGGGTAATTTATAAACAATAGAAGTTTATATGGCTCATGGTTCTGGAGGCTGGGAAGTCTAAGATTGAGGGGCTGCATCTGTTAAGGACCTTCTTGCTATGACGTGGTAGAACACATCACATAGTGGAGAGTAAGAAAGGATTGAACTGGCTTTTATAAAAAGCCCACTCTCATGATAACTAAGCTTAATCTATTCACGAGAACAGATCTCTCATGACCTAATCACTTAAAGGTCCCACCTCTCAACAGTGTTACATTGGGGATTGAGTTTCCACCAAGTGAATTTGGGGGAACACAGAAAGAATATCTGTATTCTTTCACTTAGCACAAGGTTGTTAAAATCCATTGCTATAGTAGCTTGAATCAGAACCACATTCCTTCCTTTTTAAGGCTGAATAATATTTCAATGTATGGATATGTCACATTTTGTCTGTCCATTCATCAGCTGATGGACCGTTGGATTGTTTGTGCTTTTTAGCTATTGTGAATAATGCTGCTATGAACATTTATGTACAAGGTTTTATATGGACATGGTTATGATTCTCTTGGGTATATATTTAGGAGTGGAATTGGTGGGTCATGTAGTAACTCTTATGCTTAACTTTTTGAGTAATCTTCAAGCTGCTTTCCAAAGTAGGTACACCATTGTACATTCCCTCCAGTGGTGGATGTGGGTTCTGATTTCTCCACATCCTTGCCTACACCTATTGTCTAATTCTTCTTCAACACAGTGATTATCATGCTAGAAAAAACATTTTTTTCCATCCCCTCCTGTATTTATTAGTTTGTAGACCAAACTCCCATGCTCCCCCCTTGGTCAGTGCTAACTCTAGAATAAATGTCATGGTCAAAAAAAGAATTTTTTTTCCTTGAGACCGTGAATTTTTATTATAGGGAAAGGTATTATAGGGTAGGGTTTTGCCCAGGGGGCTACCTATCATGTAACATGTATGATATAGCATGACAGTGCAAGTTGCCTGTGCACCGTGAAGCTCCCAAGGTAAAGAAACGTGAGTTATATATGCTTCATGAGGTCCTGGGCTCAAAACTAGTGTAAGCTAACCATAAATTGTATGGCAATTAATATGTTAAATTTAAAATTTCTATGTGTGTTATTCATCTAGTTACTTCTTGTTCTTCTAATAACACTCCCTTTCTGGAAATATCAGTCTTAATCCTCATAGACTCTTTAGCTAAGAAATGGCCTCTCATTCCTATATGACTGCCATATTTCACACACTAACATACTCATGGACGGCTTCTTCTCTTTCAGTATCTTCCCAAGTGTAGGGTCAATATTAAAAGAAAAAAGCCTACATACACCACCCCCCACACGTTATTTTTAATTTCATCCCACTGTTTCTTTATGAAAGGGGTTAATATTTTTTCAAATTCATTTTAGACTGGGAATCTCAACTGAAACACAAAGAGTTGACTTCTGTGCAGACTATTTTGGAAGAAACACCATCCAGTGACATGCAAATGGTAAGATTAATGGGACATCCCAGGTTCCTTGTCACAGTAGTAGTTGAGGTATACATAAATTGGAAATCAGTAGAGCCAGGAAGGTATTTGAGGCAGGGTGAAGCATTTCAGGGGAGCATCTGTGGCTCCTGAATTTGAGCAAACCCCAACTGTTACTCATGATTCTTTTTTTTCTAGCAAATTTCCCCACATAAACATTTTTGCAAATGTGAGCCAGATATCGAGTGTGTGAAATGCAATTTATTCCTCAACAATGATCAGAAAATGCCTTCTGGTAGAGAAGCCCCGGGAAAATTATGAATAAGAGAAAAAGGCCTATGGTGCAGCAGCCACTGTGCCCATCTGGAAGGAGATTTTTATTACTTACTTAGAGGAAAGGGCAGGCTGTGCCACATGGGGCCACATGGGGAAGAACCAGGGTCAGCCTAGAGGCAAAAAGGAATGAGCAGAAAGCCCAGGACTGAGCCTTTACTGAAGTTTCCACAGGAAAGGTGAGGTTGGGTGGGGGAAATAGCTTAGGATTGTCCAGTTTGAGTAATTCTGGTGTGCCCTGGGGTATCGTGCTGTCCCTGATTGTCCAGTTCCTGACCCTCGGTGCTTTAGTGTAGGGGAAATACTGGTGGGAGTATGTGTGAGAGTTAGATGAGGAGGGGGTACAGAGTATGGGCTCACTTCGCAATGAAGGGAAACGTCTTGGCCATTAGTCTGGCCATCTGAGAAGGACTGATGCCAAATAGACCAATGTAGAATCTAAGAAAACACAATACAACGTTCATGTTTAGAACCAAGGTCTTCTGACCTTTCTTTCTTGCTTGTTTTTGGGTGGTTTAAACAATAGAAATTTATTTTCTTGCGGTTTTAGAGGCTGGAAGCCCAAGATCAAGGTGCCTCAGGCTTGGGTTGCCTCCTGAGAGGTGCCTCCTGAGGCCTTTCTCCTTGGCTTGCAGATGGCCACTCTCTCACTGCTTCTTCATGTGGTTGCCCCCTCCCTGTGCACACACCCTAATTTCCTGTAGTAACATGTCTTACAGTAGTTCTGTAGTCTCTTGACCTAACCTCTGTCCAGGGCCCACTGAACCAGAAAGGGGTCAAGTCTTCTCTATGTCTATAGCATGATCATTCTCTGGAGACCCTCCTTGGTTGGTGGCTGGTGCCTGCAGTGGACTGGGGGAATCACCAGGTCTGCAACTACCAGATGCCAGATCTATCCTGTATGCCTGCACTTTTGATGGTACTAACTCACTGACAGAAGATCTCTCAGGCCAAGAACAGCTGTTATGTCACCTCTGTCCTGCTCAACACCCTCTGTGCCTTTTCCTAGGGCCTGGGGCTGTTCCCAAAGATGCAGGTTGAGCCCTCAAGGGGAGTGAGGGGGACACTATTACCTCAAGAAGACTGGCCAGGTCTCCAGGAGTCTCCTTGGTCTCTGAGTTGGATGGTAAGCCTGGGAGATGGTGTGCTGTGAGGGCGCCAGCTGATTTGGGGAGGGAGATAGAATATTGGGCCTACATTTGGGAATGGGGAGTGCACAGAAGGCCCAGGCTGTGGGCTCCAATTGAAGTCTTTCTGCATTGAATGCAGTTGTTACCAGGATAGGGGAAGGCCCTGGAGTGAGTTCTGGGGAAAGGGCTGGGTGCTGGGCCCCTGGGCCCTGCTTTTCCTACTCTACAGCCTTCCTTCCTCTAGTCTTACTTCTCTTCACCTAGCCCTACCCCTTCTATGACTGTGAAACTGACAGGAACCAGTAGGTCCTGTAACCTGGAGGCTGGGCGATGAATAGCTGGAGAAGACCTCTTGACTCAGGGCCCTGGGTTTCCTTACCTAGATGGGGAGAGAATGGTACAGGAACACTTGAAGGCACATCTTGAGTCCTGCCCTGAGAAGGGACCTCCTCCTACCTGCCCCTGCCTATCACTTCACCTGAGGTACTTGCTGCTTGTACTTTATACCTGCTACCAATTCCTGCTAGTATCACTTCCAAAATTCAGCCCACCTTGGTTTATCCCATCCCTGTTGCCACTATCACCCTTCCTACAGCCACTGTTATTTCTCCTGGACTCAAGAACTGTTCCTTACAGGATTCTAGGCCTCACCCTGGACATAGAGGCAAGAGGGATCCCTTAGAAATGTAAGTCAGGCCTGGTGCAGTGGCTCACACCTATAATCCTAGCACTCTGGGAGGCTGAGCAGGAGGATTGCTTGAACTCCAGAGTTTAAAACCAGCCTGAACAAGAGTGAGATGACATCTTTACAAGAAATAGAAAAATTAGCTGGGCATCGTGGTATATACCTGTAGTCTCAGCTACTTGAGAGGCTAAAGTAGGAGGATCATTTGAGCCCAGGAATTTGAGGTTACAGTGAGCTGTGATGAGGCTGTTGCATTCTTCCTTGGGCAACAGAGTGAGATTCTATCTCGAAAACCAAACCAAACCAAACCAAACAGAACCGACCTGAAATAAACCAAACCAAGTCAGAGGAGAGTCCATATGTTTACTATCTGCCTCTCATTTGCCCAAGTCCACCTCTAAGCTGCATCTTCCTTCCACTCCTCCAGCCTTCTGGCCATTCACCCTGCCCTTTCTTTCAGCTTTCCTTCCACCACTGGAGCCTCCTCAGGGGTTTGCCCCTCCCCATCTCCCACTGAGGGACCCTCTCTCCATTTCCTTTTGGAGTTGAACTTCTATCACAGTGAACTTCTATTGCTATATTTAAGGTTAGGTAAATCTCAACAAGGTGAACAGAGTATATTCCTTTTTTTTTTTTTTTT